AAAAAAAAAAGACTAATCCCAATACACCTAAACAAAAAAAGAAAAAATTCCACGAATACTCGTGCCAAACAAACAAAGATGATCTGCCCAAAAAATTATACGTTTGTTTTTAACAGCAAAAAATACAACCTCTTTAAAGCCATATTAACTTCCTGAAAACAATCGTTTACAAAATTACCAACTAACAAATATATTTTTGGCTAATGCGCAGTTGCAATCTCTCTGCACAGTCTTACCCATCTGGAAACGAGAAGTAAAAAGTAGTTTGGGGACCAAGCAAGGGTCAATGATCATTTGTGCCCAAATAAATTCTGAACCTGAAATTACTTTGGTAAATATAGTATGTCAAAACAATCTTGCGTAACAGCTGCCTACTGTTTAATAAATTACGCTGTTTAGTTGTTGGTGTTCTAAATATACAATAAAGAATAGTACGATTATATGACAGCCAACGGAAGGATCGCATATATACTTAATTAAATTGAAAAAAAGAAATTCACACTAATTGACAACTAATCTGTGCAATATCATCTGACTGGTTAAACGTTGTTTTTAATGATCTCGGATGTTTATTACGACATTAAGCTACGTATGAAAATATTTGAAACAAAAAAGTGATTTTCTGCACATAACCTATTGAAAAATAAACCTTATTTAATTGCGCCAGAGTGCTTTGTCATCAAAGCCTACGAGCCAGTCATATTTGCATTGTAATAAACCAAGCAATTTTTTCACGAACTATCCTGACATCAACACTACCATCCAATTAATAAAAAAAGCAAAATGATGATGAAATTAACAAATTACATAGGACATACCAAACATAACGTTACATACAAATGCAATTAGAGCTAATCGGATGAGTTCAGCAACTGATAAAACAGGTATCGGAGAAAATTTATGCGCTTACCAGAATGAAAATAAAATAAATTTTGCGCTGTTATAAAAGAAATGCAAAAATTGATCTTGACAAGAGTTCAAAAGCTTCGACCTGTGTTGTTCATCCGTTTTATATGTACAAAATTTCAGTTCCTGAGATTTCGTTCTATGGATTAGTGGTGGTGACCCCGGGGAGTCTTTAATGTCAGCTTCAATAGCAAATCTAACTCAGGTACTGTTGTTTCGTTGTTATTTTCCTGTTTTTTCCCGTTTTATAAAACTTTTTTTTATTTTTTTTTCATGCTCGCTTAATGTATGTTGATAACTCTAAATTGTTTGAAGCATAAAGTATGGTTTTTTGTATCTTTTTAGTTAAAAGAATTCTTCACTGTTTACAACACCTTGACAGAAAGGTGCTTCAACTCTTGTGTACGAGAATTCAATCATCATCATCTTGTTGAATCGGAAACCGATTGTGTATGGCGATGTAAGTTTGAATAGCCCAAATATTTTCTTATATTTTTTCATTATATGACTCTTGAACAGTTTTACAATTCAACGAAAAAAAAGTAAAATGCAGAAAAGGACAGCAGTTTTGGCGTACCCAATTATGTTGCCTGTTAACTATCTGCTTTTGGTTTTTGATACAGTTGTGGTATCTTTGCTGTTTTTCTTTTAAATGCTTCGGTTCGGCGTAGTCGTAAACCCAGAGTGTTTTTCAGGTATTGATAAGCTAATGCTTGTAAACCAGCGGTTGATGTTTATTTTTGCTGAAGTTGCACCAAATACGATTTTCAAGCAAAATAAGGATTCAGATTTGCCCAATTTACCTGATAGTTCTACTAGTACTTTGGCTGGTGTAAGGATTTTACTACTTTTTACTTCACACTTCTTAATCAACTTCTGGTTCCTGTAATGGGATATAATCTATTTGAGAAAGGACAGTGCGGTTTTAATCTGTTGTAGACGTCATGAATATAATTTCGGAACATGGTTTTCGGCGTGATGGTAGGAAACCGGATCAGATCAGAAATATCAATTATAAACTAGGCGTGTATTCTCAAGCAGATGGGTCTGCATACCTTGAAGTGGGGAGCACTAAGGTACGTTTTGTTTACAGAATTTTTTCAAAGTATAATACTAAATTGGGACCTTTTTAAAGCCATTCAGTGTTTATTACGGCTGAGATGTTTTGGAAATAGTCAAAATCAAAATAGTTTCTGAATAGCTTTGCTGTTCCTGTCCAGCCTTCCTGACCTTTCACTACTCGTTTCTTTTATAGGTGTTGTGTGCCGTTTATGGACCACATGAATGCCGTCATCACGGTCGTATGAATGAGGATAAGTGTTTGATAAGTTGTCAGTACAGCATGGCGACGTTCTCCACTAACGATCGGAAAGTATGTTTCCATTCTTTTTTTTTGTTTGCGAACGTTTACTTCTTTTACTTTTCTTTTACTTTTCATGTTCTTGAAATTCATGTGTTGTGGGAGCGGCCCCAGAAGTTTAGGAGCTGATAAGCAGTTTTTAATTTGAGTGTTTACTACAATAAGCACTCTAACTTGAATTTATCGCTTGGCTGCATAGAGGCGTAATATTTCAGGATAGGCCGCGAGGCGACAGGAAAGCTATTGAATTTGCACGGCTAATGGAAAATGCGTTTGAATCTGCAATTTTAACTGAAAATTACCCTCGTTCCCAAATTGACATATTCTGTGAGCTGCTTCAGGTGTGTTTCTTCCTCAAGGGCAATAGTATGAATTTTTCGTATACATTCCTCGTGATTTCATTTTTTATATCATTCAGGCTGATGGAAGCCACTTGGCAGCGTGTGTGAATGCAGCAACTTTAGCTTTAGTTGACGCTGGAATTCCGATGCGTGGTTTAGTGGTTGCAGCATCTACCGCTTGCGATGTTGGAGGAGTGCCTTGTGTCGATGTCAATAGTCGTGAGGAAACACGAGTTGCACCACGGTTGACAATAGCAACTATATCTGGCAAAAACGAAATTGTGCTTACTGAGCTTCAGAATCGTCTACATCGGGATCATTTTCTTACTCTTCTGCGAGCTGCGCGTGACGCGACGTCATTGGTGCATGCTTGTCTTGAGACAGCGGTTTCTACTCACGTCTCACAAGCACTTGGGGTGTCGCCACTGGTTGAATAGTGAATGTTCAGTTCAATGTTATGGATCTCATATTATAAGCTAATTGCCTGGAAGTATATTAGGAAAAATAAGTGTCTTTACCACTTTAGGAAATTCCTCTGTGTTTCACAATATGTTGGACTGTGAAGATGTAGAATATAAAATAGGATGCTGCTTTTTATATTTCTTTTTGTTGTATGAGGAGGTTAGTCATTGTTTTTGTTGGGCATTGTTATATATTAATGTTTGTCTACAATAAATCTATTGTCGAGGAGTCGTTGTTACTGCAGGATGTTTTCAGCACAGTGGTTTTATGTTATTCTGAGTTCTTGAGTGCGTATACGGTCTCAATATTTACCGGAAAAATTTTTTTTCTGGAGTTAGTTGACTTCGGTTAATGCAACATATTGTCAAACCGCGGTGGTGGGATTAGTCTTTTATCCAGAAGTTTGAAATGTTTGTCAGCAGTGTTGGTGCGACGGGTTCATGGCTCTTTTTTTCTGTTTCGTATTTGATAGAGGGAAGGTCAGGTATTTATTAAAGCAGAAAGTAAAGAAGCATTTCAGTTTGCGGAGGAGCACGGGAAGTTTTTGGCGGGTATGGTTTGTTCTCATGTCTGGGACATCGTTTTTGCCGAAACACATTGCTAGGTTTCGCCACGTTAGGTTCTTTCGTGCCACATCGAGACGCCTTACGAGCGTTAATGTTGCGCCTCTAAATGACGGAGATTCTGGAAAGACAGAGTCTTTGAAAGACTTGATTGATGATCTTACTGGAAATGTTGTGCATGCACCGAGAAACAAGAAGATTAATGCTCTTGTTTTTCGGATATCAAAAGCGGCTTCTGTTCGTTCCTTACAGTCGGTAATCAGTTAAAACCTGCAAAATTTTTTACTTTTTAGGCTTTTCTTGTTACATACTCGGGGTTTGACATTTTGCTTTTTACTCGTTTTTTCTTTCAGATATGTGAGGAAGCGGAAAGGCCACTTAGTGGTGAGGTAGCTTCTGCGCTACTGGGACGGTTGGCTACTCTGAATCGGGAAGAAAATAAAGGAGAGCAACAGTCTTTAGGTGTTCTGAAAACAGTAAACAGGTAACTTGTTTTCTTGTTTCTAGTAATATATTTGTTATATAATAATGCCCTATATAGCCTGTTTTGACTTTTCTTACCACTGCAAGAAAGCTACCGGTGAAAGCAATGCGTGATACCAATCTTTAAAGAATTATCTGCGGACGAATTGGAGATTCATTTTAAATTTTAGTTTTAAGCTGAAAGGTTTTTGGTCAAAACTTCCTTTGCGAAGGTTTGTTGAAAAGCCGTAATTGATAAAGACTGGTATCTTCTAAAGAACTGTGTGGGACTGAAAACAAAAAACTAACTTGTAAAATGTAGCTTATTTTTCCTTTATCTGACTATTCGACTACTAGGTATGGATCATAATTGGTACTAGTTTTTGCGTCTTATATAAATATTTTTATAATGTTTTATCAATTGTGTTTCGTTTTTTATTTTTGTTCTGACATTGTCGAGCTTTTTTAAATGCAGAAATTTTTACTTTATTATCTGTTTAAACTGGTTTTCTTTCAAAGATGATTGCAGACAGTTATTACGGGACGTCAAAGACGCACTGTGCACTGACATTAGTTCGAAAGTAGTTTTGGACTCACTCTGTGCTTTCTTGAATCTTGGAATTGACAAAGGAGAAATGTTTAACAAACTTTTTTCTTTGCTAGAACAGCAGGTTCTTTCAAACCCCTCCGATGTCCCAATAATGAATCTTGTTAAGTTACACAATTCGTTTCGCAACAGTGGTTTCCAATTACCAGAAGAGACGAAGAAACTTTTAGATGATGTCATCGAATTGAAAACAAGGTCAATACTTTTTAGCTTTCTAACTTTGAAGTGAAAAAATTATGAATTGGAATGTAGCAGTTTAAGTAAATTTGACTTGCTGTTCAATTACGCTTTGCATATCGAAATTTTCAGCGAAGTGAGCACTCCTTCGGAAGTTCTTTTTTTGATGATGAACTGTTATGTTTCTCCTGCTTGGTTCGACTCTCTTCTACTGAGGGTGAAAGAAATTCTCCCATTAATGCAGCTAGGTGATTTAGTGTCTTTGATGCGACTGCTAGCGGAAAGAAAAAAATTTGATATTAGCATTCTTCCACTTATCGCTGCTGCTTTGACTGCGGACCCTTCTCAGTTATCGGTACTTTTTTTGATGAACAATTGCTCTCTGATTTTGGCATGTGTTAAAACTAAGGGTTTTTCTTTCAGGTAAACCAGTTGACATCTCTAACTACTTCAGTAGCTGTCCTGCATATGAAAGATGCTCGCTTGCTGCGTAAATTAGCAAATAATGTTGTTCAGAACGCTTCCTCGTTTAGGAAATGGTCCCAAATTACTTCAATTGTTGTACCATTTGCAAGAATTCGGTTTGGACATCTCAAGGCTTGGGAGGTCCTTACCACTTGGATAAATGAAAATTATAAGTATGTGATTTCTTGTTCTTAGCAGAGTATTCAGGTTTAGTTTCTATTAAGATGTTCTTGTCTTTAAGTACTGTCATCATGCTTTTGCCTGTCGGAGACTTACCATTTATTTTGCGATATTGTTAGTGACCTATCTGCTTCTTTCTTGAAAATTGCAAAAATGTCCTTACATTTTTTTATGTTGTTTATACAGAGTAGATTTCAGATTATGAAACTGAAATTTTTACTTATTAGGGAGGCTGGAGTAGCCGAGTTGTCCAAGACAGTTACAGCTTGTGCATTATGTGGTAAAGGACATCTGATCAAAGCTGCAGCAGAACATTTAGCCGAAAAATTAAACATTGTGCAAACTCCTTCAGCAACAGTGTGGCTTAATTCGATTAGTGCACTTGCAGCTTGTGAAGCTTTAACTCCATCTCTTGCAGAAACTGTTTTAAGGCCAGAGTTCTTAAAGCAGTTCTTGAATAAGTAATACTTCTTTAATGCTGTAGAGTTTTTGTTGTATGGTAGGTCGTAGTTTATTGTCGCCTAATTACGTTTAGATCGTTTAAATTCGTTATTTATACGTAATATACAATTAATGACTAAATTTTGAACTCGATATTAGTCTTCTTCTTGCATGTAATTTAGGAACAATCCTGCCGGAGGAATTTTCAATTTGTCCAGGATAGCTCAAATCCAGGCTTATGCACAGTGCTTCTTGAAGGGGGCTTATAAAGGTCCCGTAATGAAGCTGGAGGATTATTTGAAGCTGGATAAAGATGTGGTTTGTTAATCTAGTTGAACTTTCCTTTTCTGCTCAGCATGTGAACTTTAAGTAGCATCTTGCTTTGAATCTAAACAGAACTAGTGGTTTTGAAACAATTCCAAAATTGACTTATCATTGGAGAATGAAACTGCGGCGGTCATAAAATACGGTTCCCAAGGGATATATGACGCTGGAGTTTTCCGCAACATAGTTTACAAGTTGGCTCCACTGGATTCGCATTGTATTGGTCCTTTCCTGAGCTCTGATGGATTTTTTGTTGATGGAATAGTACAGCTTGATGAGAATTCTCGGTTTGTCCGAATTGAAAACTTCGAGAGCCGTAAAAGACCTGTGCTTGTTTTAGTTTTCCTTGGTCCAAGACAGTTGACAATTTCCGTGAGTTTTTGCAAATAATTTTAACCACTGTAATAAAATTTCAGAAATTGCTTAGTTTTTTAATTTCACCTTAGGAGATCAAATACTTTATTGATGATGTTCAGCAGTATGAAGGAAACTTTTTGCTTTGTTCGGGATCAGTGCTTTGACTCTTTACGCGGGCAATAATTTGGCACATGACTTTTCAGACTTTTTGACTAGAGACTTTACTCGCATCTGCTAGTTTTATTGTTTTTTCATTTGTTTAATAGTATAGTGGTATTCGTTTTCAGTGTGATGCAGGTGATGAATTATATCCACTTGGCCCGATCGAGTTAGGTCTCAAGCTGTTGAGAAAGAAAGGAATGGTGCCAGTAACTTTCACAGAGTTTGAAATGCAGTCGAAAAAGTACTTAGCACAGAAGATTGAATTTGTGAGGAGCAAACTGGTAGACGCTGTTAAAAAAAGTAGCTCGTTAAACCAGTGATAGCTTCTACAAATTTTACCATTTTGTTGTGGTTTTTTGAGTTAAAGTTTTACCCATTACCGTGGTATAGGCAAATCTTTGCTTAGTAAAAATAATCTTTTTTTTCTGTATAGTTCTCTGACTGTTATTTTTTTACCTTAAATAATGATAGATTTGAAATAAATTATTGAAAAACTAAAGTTTGACAATTGTGTTTTCAAATAGACTTTTTAAAACGTTCAAATAGTTCTTCGATTAACTCTAAGGTACTTTTACTTTACAGCAATTACAAGCGGTGGTTTTTTTAATGAATTTACAAACATTTGAGAACTTCAAACGATAAAAATGGCTAGTTGCTTTTATGGAGATTTAGAAAAACATCGTCGCTGCGATGGACACTGGAAGGCTTTGTAGAACATCGGGCAGTTTTTAACGGACCCAATCAGACGATATTTTAAAGGACTATGATTATCTTGTTGGAGCTGTCGTAGAGTTGAGTTATTGTTTGGCTGTGGCTCGCAAAACATTTGGGCGTATCCAAGGAAAAACAATTGATCTTTTGTCATCTTTCCGAATAGATCTTCGGGTAGTTCAGGATCTTTTTCTCGTCCGAGATCTTTCCTGTAGGCACTGTAAGCTGCCAGTAAGCCTGAAATTTTGTTATAGCCGTTTTGCGACTTGTCGCTTTCATCTTCCATGTAAGAAAGGTTCAAGGTGGATAGTAAAATTGTGGAAGCCAAGGACTGTTACCTATATTATCAGCTATATTCTCAATCAGTGTTCTTGTTCCGTTCAGGCATTGCATTTCTAGACCTTTTCCTTTTAAAGGACAGAATTCAGAGTACTGTTCAACGAGACAAGCTGAAATTCTTTTAAGAAGAAGAGCTGCGGCTGGAATATTGCTTCCATTTATTCGTTTTTTAAACATTATATCAGCCACCACATGTGCAGATTCGTGCCCGATGATCTGTCCCAGCGCGCCATAATTGAGAGCTATAGGCCCTTTGCGGTTCAAAAACGGTTGAGTTAGCAGACTCCATGGGATTTCTATGATGTTTTTCAGCACCTAAATGTAGAAAATCTAGACATCCATGATTTTATTTACCGTTGGAAAAATTTTTAACGCGCTAGAAGATAATGTATCAATTTCAGTACGAGAAAAACAAAAACAAAGTCCTCACATTATATTTCGGGAATCCTGCATTCTCCACCTCTTCGACATTGTCCGCTCTGCTTAATTTGCTGAGCTGGCTCACCGTTCTTAGCAAATATTTTGATTTCCTAATTTTAATGTTTTTGTACCTCTTGTCGAGCTGTTTGTCTTTTGGTGGCGAGGGCCATTCGATTTTCAACCGTAGAGCTTCAACTTTTCTGAGAATATTCCTTACCATTTCCTTCCTAATACCTGTAGAGTTTGAATTTGTAGGCTCTATCATATCTTTTATAGCGTGCTTAATATTATCGAAAATGCGCTGCACTTTCCTGAAATGTTGAACAAAGCTGGATGCAATGAGTTGGTGGGTCATAAAAAAAAAGTCATTATATTTTTTTTTTTTCTGAAAAGATACGGTTTGATTTTTGGAAGATATAAAACATAATTGCTAGTGGTATGCGAATGCGTTGTTTCCCCCTATAATGTCTGTGTTAAATCGATTTACTCTGGACGTCCTTATACAAAAGAGTTAGCTTTTTGCTTATATAAGACAAAGATTAATGGCAAAAGTATCCGTATTTTTATAGGTTTACAGCTCTTATTTTAAAATAATAAACCTGTTAATGGACTTCTTCTTCCTTTTCGTAACTGCTGGGAACTCGGCGCCGAAGCGATCTTTAGCTTCCGGAAATAATAATACGGTAAGGCGAACACAGTAGGCTTTGATAATTTCGTGAACAAACAGTTTCTTTTTTGCGGATCTTCGCAGTCGTTTTTCGCTTCCGTCTTCTATAATCCTGCAACGGTAACTCAATAAAGCTTTTTGAGCTTTCTTTTGCCGTTTTCTGGTCTAGATACCAAATTAAATTTATATGCTTCTAAACTAATAACATAAAATGTGCTTTATTGGAACCAGAGATCCTAACCACTTGGTTAAAGAAGGAGAGAGAGGAGTAAGTGTCTGACAGAAAAGGAAGGGGAGAGCCACGCCGATAGAAATAATCGGATGGAGGAGAAGTGAGAACTTAAGTGGACAGAAAAAGGTGTTGCAAAAAACATTAATTTTAATTTTTTCAAACTTTTTTACGACGGAACAAAAAATGTGAAAATTTTTAAAGTTTTACACTTAACGTTCTAAATTTTTTAGAAAATTTCAAAAGCTTCAATGTGATTGTACAAGACATTTATTAACCTACTTAAGACTCTCTCCCAGTTTTCCCGATGTTGATAAGTGACGAAACACGTCTAAACTACTGACAGTGTTTCGCAGGCCACTGTTCAAGTATAGTTTTGAGTACTGCGTGTTCACAATAACCAATACCATGAAATGCGGACAGTATAGACAAGTCCATGAAAAACGGATTTACAAGGGTAAAATACTGAAGATCATGGGAAATTTCTGTACTTCTAACAAGCTGTTGAGCAAAAAACCATTAAGCTAATGTTTTTCCATTCAATCCAGTGGCACTCCCGTTTTCTTAAAATTTTGGTTCCAGTTAATGATCCCGACGTTTCATTAGTGTGCACATTTATTTTTAATCGCCGTAACGGTGGTGCGACACGAATGCAGCGTTTATGAGACCTGTCATGTCCCAAATTAGAGTTCCTTGCAAAACAGCAAGCATATATTCCATTCAGCATGTTCACTGAACTAGAATTACGGACTACTAACTCGCCGACTAGTTTCATCACTCCAATGGCTGATTGCTCTACAGGGCTGCCTTTTCAAAAGTACAGTATTTCTCCAAAACGTTTACAAGAAGGCAAAAAACCGTGAAATTCTGTCATTTTGTAGTTACCGACAACTTCTTATTTGCACCCTCAAAGGAGGTTGTATCAGCAGATGCTGAATAAAGGGTGGAAAGAGAAAATTTTTTTCTCCGCACAAGCAGGGACATAATAGAAGATGATCTCAAGTGTTGGCTAGTTTTCAGTTATCATTTATCTTTCTGCATCAAACTTCGCTTGATAATTTACGTCCTTATCATTTGAACAACGAAACTTATATAAATGAAAATTTTTTATTCAAAACATTTAACTTTACCAGCCATAGTGCTACCTGATGGTTTAAAGTCAAAAATGTATCATACTTGAGAGATTCGATGTAAGATGATTGAATCGCACTAGCAATTTCTTCCTCCGTTTTACCGAGATTTTGTTTTGCATAGAATCTCTTGCAATTTTTGTAGAAGCCACTTGCTTTGGCCACGAAAGTATCCTGAAACAGTTTACAGTAATCATCCTTAGCTATCAAATGGTTCGGTTTGTCGTTCCAACCTTCTTTGTGCATTAAGTATTTGTTCAAAATTCTAAGTCTCCCAGTAACTGTCTAACGTACCAGTCATTTTTTGAAAGACCAGGAATTGAATTTTAGAAGTTACATTTTACCACAATTTTTCAGTGAAAACTTAAAATGGCTGTGCTAGTCAAACCAAAAGTTTTGTTTTATCAAATAAATTACTATAGAATTTAGCTTTAACTTTATCAACACAATAGAACAACAGTGCAATAAACAAGAAAAACAGCAAAAATTCTTACAGGTTTAGCCCTAAATTTTGATTTGTTCATCGTGGTTCCCAGTTTTCGAAAGTATCTTGCAGCATTGACCTCTGTAGCACTAGCACTTCCTTCGTAATTTCCACATGCATATTCATAGAAATCGTTGCATGGATTAACTGTTTTATCCAACGAAGATTCAATCAACGCAGCCGCTTTCCTGTAAGCCTCATACTTTCGGGGCGACAGTTTGCCTAGATTAAGATTACCAGTTTTGTCGTTAGTATCAATCAGTTTACAATACACATGAAGTACAGTTGAAATAAGAAAAAGCTTAGTATGGTGTTATCCTTATCACAGTTAATCAAAGAACAAAAAATACATTGAAGCAGTACCCATTTGCCTT